TGTACAACCTGGATGCCCACCTGGCGAACCAATGGATGACTAATTCATTGAAGACCAGTGTGAGGATGCGCAGAATTATGGGAGAAGATCTGGGTGGCTGCCCAGACACGATTTATCCAGATTGGACATGTTAATGCCCACATAGTCACTAACTGGGTGAAGATAACTACAATGATGTAGTAGATGAGCTGACCAGGATCGAGCGTGTGATTGCTAGTGACCCTGTAGATCCAGTGCTGTTGAAGATTGCAACCTGGGCCCATGAAACTGGAGGGCACAGAGGAAACAAGGTGACATTGGAGTGGGCATGATTAAGAGGGATGCAAATCACTTTGGGGCTTGTCACCACTGCTCAAGTGTGTGAAGTTTGCAACAAAGTCAAGAAGTGGCCGCTCACCACAGAGACTCAAGGGTATCTAAACAAAGGCACATCAACGGGCCAGATATGGCAACTCTATTACAATGGCCCGCTACCCAAAGGAAGAGGAGGACTCCTTTATTTTTATACTGCCATGGACACATACATTGGATTGCTACAGGTGCTACCTTGTAGAAGTGCCAATCAAACCGGTACATTGAAGATCCTACACATAATTGTGATGGCTTACAGGATTCCATCTGAACATCAAACAGATAAAGGCACCCACTTCATAACATAGCTGGTACAACAATGGGTACAAGACTCAGGGATTGAATGGATATTCCATATCCCCGATCATCCCTAAGCTGCAGGGTTGATAGAGCGGTACAATGGGCTTCTAAAAGAACAAGCTTGGAAGCTATCTGCAAGTAGAACTACCAGGTGTGTGTCAGTTTTGATGTTAATTGTTAAATTATACCTCTTTGAGTGTACTTTTTTTTTTGTTTTTTTTTATATTTAGAAATTTGTTGAGGTAATACTTTCAGGAGAGTGTTATTTGACTCCTACTGTGATGCATGCCACATGTGACTAACTTCATTTTGGAATAGTTCACATGGTGAGTGGACTCCATTTTGGATTCCCTCTATTTCATTAGAATCTGATTTATTTTGTGGTGATGGTGGTGGAGGAGGTGGGGTGGGATGTTGCCATAACTTCCTAAATTAATTTTAAATATATGTTAGTAGTAAAATTATTGTACTAAATATAAAATAATCATTATAACATTTATAGTTGGGGGAACAGTGACCCCTAGTGGGGTAGATTTAATATTACTGGCATTGCCCAGTTTCAACTAACTCACCTGAACAGTGGCACCTGAACAGTATATATGGTTGCAAGTGTGTGCTTTTATAACAGTTTTTTTTTTTTGTGATATTCATGGGCTTCAACTAACAAGAGCAATAGTGACCCCAGGTGAACAGAGTATAAACTGCAAATTCTTTTATCAAATGGAATCTACGTAGAACATAAGTTTCTATTTTACTATTGTGGCAAAACTAACCTCGCCAGTGGGTTATGGAGAAGCCTGATTGCCAGCCTCCTGCCTCATGACTATGGCCCCTCTCATCAGCCCATGCTAGACTTAAACCCCATGGCGATCTGACTGTTTTTGTGGGATCTGAGCGCTGTTTGGATATATACTGAGCGCTCAGTTCCAAGCCATCTGGGGATAGGTTGAATGTGGTGGTTCTGTGTTTTTACTGTTGTTGTGAATAGAGCTATTTTCTGTATGCTGGAGATAATTGGCTTACCATACCCAAGCCATGCTTGCAGTCGGTCACAAAGGGACTTCCAACTAACTTTTGACCCACTGGACCAATTTGTATGATTTTGATGTATGTTTGTATTTGGAGTATGCTGATTCTGAAAATGTTTTATGTGAATGTGATGTGTACTTTTAAAGTTATGAATATTGTGTAAAACTGTATTTTCCTGCCCATTGTGTTCAGTAATTATATCACAGGCAGAGGGAAGGATTCTGCTGGAATGAATGGGAATGTTTTACTGTGTATTACGTGTTTATTGGTTGTTTTACAAAACTCTGTGGGTGGAACTAATGTTTAAGAATGTGTATATAAGAACAATAAACCCACAGCTCTCCTGTCACTGCTTGACCCTCAACACGGAGCCTTGTCTCGTTCTTGGAGGGATTTATTGTATGCTGTTCCAGTTCGACTGCTATAAGTGTAAACCTTTCGTATGGTTTTTCCTGTTCGGCTGTTTACAGCATTCACATGGTTCCGGTTCGGCTGTTTACAGCATTCGTATGGTTTCCTGTTCAGCGGATTGGTGTCTTTGGTAGCTGCCTGTATATCTGGAAGGGGAATATCCCCTAAATGGCGTTTAACCCCTTTTATGCCCGGGGGTTGCCATTACAAATATTTTTTTTTTCTTCTTCCTTTTTCTTCTTAATGTGTGGAAAGATCACGGGTGATTTTTGTACCTTTGATTAGACAATGTGCTTGTTTTTGATAGATTTTTCATATTAATATGAATGGATTAAAAGTGAAGTTTTAATTACACCACATTATCCACCGTAAGATACATGAAATGTCTGTAAGCAGACAGAGAATAAACAAAGCTGAGGTCTAGGATAACAGAAATACACAGAATCGATAGTATAACAGAAAGCAAGAATAGTCAAACAAGTTGTAGTCAGAAAAGATCCAATACACAGTATAAACAGTCTCTCAGGTAACAAGAACCATGACACTGCAAAGAAACAAGAACAACTAGGAAGTATATATATATACTGGGTTGTGATTGCTAACAAGTGTGTATACATCATCAAAAAGCGACACATAGGCTGACACTATGAAAGGAGAATAATGGGAGGGATCCAAGTCATAAATGATGTCCTAGTGAGGCACCAGGAAGCTAGGGATGAGTGGGTGTGCATCAGTTTTCAGAAAATATATAATTTCTGCTATTGCACAGAAATTAGATCTTGTCAAAGTCACTTTTTTTCGCCTGCCCGTTTTTCCTGCTACGCAAACCTTAAATTCAAGAACGAATTGTTCACTTACTGCCCAATATATCCCACCCCTTGACAAATGTAATTGCAGCAATATAATCAGTGTCATTCACTTCACCTATTAGTAGTTTTATTGTTGTGTTTGATCAGTAAACACTTACTATTAGAGGTCTTTGTAAGTATTTTCTTCAGCTCCCCCCTAAAAAAAATCCTAACATAACTTAAACTAAAATCGGACACAAAAAAAAAAATCAGAGTAGGCCCATTGAGGGCTCTGCACATACTGCGCTTGCATAGCTTCTCCTGCCCATATGGAAGGAAGCCTTCCCTCTTCCCAAACCCATCCACATTTTTTTTTAATCTGTACCCTCCATCGCCCTCCTTTTTTGCCCACTCCCCATTTCTTCAGCTGCTCCGAGGTTGTGCATTCGCACGCACCCATTGCCAGAGAGCTTCATCTGGAGCTAGATTATGGTAAATAAACGTTATTGTAAAATACTCTTTGAGCACTTTTCTTGGTGGGGTGCTCTTCATATCTGAGAGTCAAATAGAACTGTCAAATAGTGCGGTTACAGCGCAATTGTAAACATTCTTATTTTCTGGGTGTTAATCTGTTTTGGCTGCTAAATAGTGCATTTGCGGGCTGCGGTGCACTTCATATCTGAGAGTCAAATAGAAGCGTCAAATACTGCGCTTACAACACAGTTTGAAACATTCTTATTTTCTGGGTGCTAATCTGCTAAATAGTAAAATTGGGGCGTGCTCTTCATATCTCAGAGTCAAATAGAACCGTCAAATAATGCTGTGACATAGCATTTTTAAACATCCCAATTTTTTGGCTGCTAAATAGTACATTTGCAGCCTGCGGTGCGCTTCATTTCTGAGAGTCAAATAGAACCATCAAATACTGTGTTTACAGCACACTTTGACAAATTCCCATTTTTTTGCTCCTAAGAAGTAAATTTGGGGTGTGCACTTCATATCTAACAGTCAAATAGAACCATCAAATACTGTGGTTACAGCGCAGTTTGATCAATTCAAATTTTTTTGGGTGTTAAATAGTACATTTGCGGCCTACACTTCATATCTGACAGTCAAATAGAACCGTCAAATACCAATATAACGATATTGTATTCCGGGGGCAATACCCTCACAAGTCAAACAAGTCAAAACTGTTGCCTGGATACAATTCTAAAACAATTTCCATATGTCCTTTGCAGACTTTACATGCTAGAAAAACACAGGTGCCAACTGCTGTGGCTTTCTGCAGTGTGCATACCTGCAAGGAGGGCAGGGTTGAGGAGTGGGTGGAAGATGATGTGGAGGATGATGAGGTCCTAGACCCCACATGGAATCAAGGTCATGCGAGTCCAGTTTGGAAGAAGAGGCGCTAGTCGCACAGAGGCACCAGCACAGCATAAGAGGGAGCAGGGTGCAAAAGCGGAGCGGCCGTCCCCTAACGCTCGTCGGCATGTATTATCTTTAGCATTCCCACAGTTATCCAAGTAACAGTTGAAGCAATAAAAAGAACCATTACCGATTTAACGAGCCATTCACAGTTTCGCAGTCCGGTGACCGGGACCCAGTCACTGTCTGGGCGGCAGTCAGACGACCAGAACCCAGTATGCCTGATGTTGAAGTTAGGAGTCACAGTGTAGGATGGATAAGCAGGGTCTGGTGCAGGGTAACCACACGCCCCCTGGTGTTGAGCACCAGTGTTTGTGCGGCCACATACCAGGACCCTGATGCGGCTTCAGTAAAAAGAGTACTGGATACCAGAGGCCATCACCAGACTGATCAGGATGTGACATTCACTTTAGCGGCTGAGCGCACTTTCGGCGTTCTCATCCTGCTGCTGCTCGCCTGTCTCCGCTGCAGCTTAACTTTGGCCTTCCCGCTCACCGCCTCATATGCAACATGCCCACAAGGTAGAACTCCACCTTGCACATGCTGGAGAGACTGTGCGAGCAGCAGCAGGCAATAGTGGAGTTTCAGCTGCAGCACGTACGGGTCAGTCGCTCTGCACCAGACCCTCCAATTGATCAGAGTTAAAGGATTTCAAGTGGACTCATTAAAATTACAGGGCCTGTATTGTTATTTGTCGTCACTACCTTCCTTCGTCGGGAGTGGGTCATTTGCGCACCCGCTGCCTTCCTTGCATGTGGTAGCCGTTTCTCAGGCTCCCTCTCCGTAATCGAACCCTTATTTCCAGTTACCCGTGGTCACCATGGTAGGCGCAGTAAATGGCATCAAAAGTTGATATGGATGATATACGAATGCGTCGTCGCCTTGTCGCTCCAAAAGTGCTCTAGCATGACGAGCTGGATGATCTCCTCCAGGAACTTGGCTTGATGGGAGTTGAGCTAGTTCTGGGTGGCCCTTGTGATGCGGCATGCCCACTCCGCATGGGAGTCCTTCTCCCCTTTCTGGTTCTCCCTAAACTTTCGGCGGTATTGCTCGGGGGTGACCGCACACCGGACCAGGAGCATTTGGCTCTCTGATCTGCTCTTCTAGTACAGCCCGGTAAATATCCACTGCCTTCCCCACTAGTTTGCTGGCCAGGATGGTGACCCAGTCGCTGGGGTCCACGTCTTCGAGTAGGCACTGGTGCTCAAAATCTTGTAAAAAGTCATTAATGCCTTCTTCTGCTTCCTTGAAGTCTTTGTGGGCCAGGGTGGTTGTGCTTCCCGGCGCCCTCTGCTCCCTTCATCTGGGTTCATGGAGGTCGCACCTCCCAAAAAGGTCCCGCTGACAATCTCCTCTGAGGGTGGCTCTCTGTTATATGCCAGGCGCCGTTACACCTCCTTGCGCACTTCCTCCTCATCTCCGACCCCTGGCTGGGGTTCGTTGCCTCACTGAGTGCCTGGTCATCCTCCATGAGCGCAGCAGTCAATTTGGCCTTGCCCACCAGGCATTATTCCTCTGGCTCCACACAAGTCCGGCAGTGTAGGTTGCTTTAGAGCACTGTAGTCCATGGCCCTGTTGGCAGGGACATGGGATCCTGCCGCTTGCCACCAATTGAAGCAGGACCTGGGTTACCGATGGTTATCCCCTTTGATTAGAATAGGTCAGACCCATTTCCCTAGTAACTGGATGGGAAACAGTTCCAGGAAACAATGTTTGACAATCTTTATGTGGGTACACAGCTTGGCCTCCTGTTGCCTCCTCCTCCTGCTCCGCTTCCTCCTCCTCTACCACCTCCTCATCCGGTCAGTGTAACACTTTCACCACCAACTTCAGCACAATCAGGGGGAAACGACAGCAGGCTGTTTTAAAACTGATATGTTTGGGGGAAAGCCCCCACACTGTGCAGGAGCTGTGGACAGGCATGGAACAACAGACTGAGGAGTGGTTGTTGCCCCTGAGCCTCAAGCCCGGCCTGGTGGTGTGTGACAATGGGCAAAATCTCGTAGCAGCTCTGGGCCTCGCCGGTTTGACGCACATCCCTTGCCTGGCGCATGTGCTGAATTTGGTGGTGCAGAAATTCCTGAAAAACTACCCAGATATATCAGATATATCAGAGCTGCTGCATTAGTCAGGCGGCAGATGTATACATGTGTATGAGGTCCCTAAGTTTGCCTGGTTGTGTAGGTTGAGTGTAGTCTCTGAGTCTCACTATGACATTAATAAACTAGAAGAGTCTTACGAGTAATCTCGGTTATATAGATAATAACATGCATTGTAAGCTGGGGTATTTCTGCCTCTGCCTTTGGGGATAGAGAGTCTCTGCTTTGTAGGCAGGGTTATGGGCTATGGGCCCCACTTTGAGTCAGTCCGGGTTGCATCAGCCGATGCCCGTTCTGGATGCCTTGTTTGCGTTTCCGGTAAGGCGACTGGAGACCCTGGGCGTGGTGTCTTTACGCTGGGAGTCAGCTCCAGTTGTACCTTGGGGCGTGTGCAGCCACTCAGTCCCTTGCGTTGCAGCATTGGCGGTAGTGAGCTGGATCGTGCTGCGCCGGATGTTAGTACACGCCTGTGGGGCTTGTATGGTAGGCCTGGATTTGTGTGTCAGCAAGAAGGAGCTTGCGTTGGGGTGACATGGCGCCCTTTCCCGCCTTAAGGATTTCTGGAATCTGCGTTGTCGGATCGCTGCATTAAAGGCTTGGAGTTTGCGCCTGTAATGGCTGCATCTTGCCGCCGGTCTGATCCACGAGGATACCATTGTTTCCTCATGGTAGTAGGTCATTCCTCGGCTGTGCAGCATGTCCCAAAACCTTTTGCAGAGCCAGTCAAGGTTTCCCTGGTGAGGTGAGGACGGCTTGGAGTGGGCGGTCCGCTCTTGGGGTCTGCGCTGGGCTGCCATTTTGGCAGAGCTTTGGTGGCCTGTTGCCCATGCATGCCTTGGAGCTAGCTTGTCCGTATTTTGCTTTGGTCGATTCGTCCTGTGGGGACCGGGATATCCCCCACCGGTCCATGGGGGGGTAGGTTGCTGTAAGGTCTCTTGAGGGCCTCTGCATCGGGGAGAGCAGCCACCTCAGCCCGGCCCAAGATGGCCGCAGTCGTATCTCTGCTCTCCTGGCTCCTGGGGGCCCCGGGGTGGTATCATTGAGTGTGGCAGTACACCCCCGACATGGGTGGTGCACCCTTGGAGTTCCTTGGGCCATATAGCTGCCTCTTTTTCCCTGGTTTCGGCCCGCTGAGCGGGAGCTCGTGTCAGACACGTCTGCACGGCTCGGTGTCCAGGCTCCGCCCCCCAAGAATTCTTTTTTTTACATGTTATACACGATCTACAATAGTGGAAACCATTCTGATAGTCCAACCACATTTTTTTGTAATCAATCTTAAAATGGAGATAGGATAGAAAAGAGATGGGCTTTAGCTCTTTGTAAGGGTGGTGGAGATGGGGGGGAGGGGAAAGCTCAGAACAGAGGAGGTATGTAATACTGATGAAAATTCCCAAAAAGTACAAATGATTCATGATAATATTAAATGCTTACTAATGCAAGAAGCCTATATAACAAAATGGAGGAACTAGAGGCAATAGCATACACTAAACAATATGATATAATAGGCATAAAAGAAACATGGTGGGATGAAACACAAGACTGGGCAGTTAACTTAAATAGGTACAAGTTATTTAGGAAGGATTGGAAAAACAAGAAGGGTGGTGGGGTATGTTTGTATGTCAACCATAAGTTAAAGTCAAATCTTAGGCATGTGGAGTGTGATGAGGAAAATGTGGAAGCTTTATGGGTAGATATCTGTATGGGGCAAACAAAGGGAAATCAATTATTGGTTGGGATATGTTATAAACCACCTAATGTAAATATTAATGAATAGCTGTTAGAGCAAATTAGGAAAGCTGCAAATTGGTGTAACACGTTAATTATTGGAGATTTTAATTATCCGGACATAAATTGGGATAGAGTGACTAGTACTTCAGCAAGGGGAATCAGGGTTTTGAATGTGTTAAATGACACCTTTAAGTCACTACTGGTACAAGCACCAACTAGAAAGGATGCTTGTCTGGATCTCGTTATAACAAACAATGTTGATCTTTTAACCAACATTCAATTAGCGGAGCATTTGGGAAATGGTGATCACAATGTGGTAATTTTTGAAATAAACTCAAAAAAGCAAAAGCACGTGGGGTATACTAAAACGTATTATTTTTAAAAAGCCAATTTCAATAAGATTAGGGCAGCTCTACAACATATCAACTGGCATAAACTCCTTCGTGAAAAAAACACTGAAAAAAACATTAAATGCAAACTATTCAAACACATATTAGAAAGGTACATTTCTCAGTATGTACCATTGGGTAATAAATATAAAAGAAACAAATTGAAAACCAATGTGGTTTAGTAGAGAAGTAAAACAAGAGATTAAAAATAAGAAAAGGGCATTTAAAGCATTTAAATCGGACAAATCAGAGGCATCCTATATAAGATATAAGGAAGCCAATAATGCTTGCAAAAAGGCAATTAAAGTGGCTAAACTAGAAAATGAGAAATTAATAGCCAAAGAATGCAAAACCAACCCCAAATTTTTTTTCAAGTACATCAATTCTAAAAACAAAACAAAAAGTGAAAGTGTAGGTACACTGGAAACATAGATGGATCTGTTAGCTAAGAAGACCAGGAAAATGCAGAAATTTTAAATAACTATTTTTCTACAGTATATATTAATGAGGATCCTATGGTAAGAGATATGCAAATGATTGCTGCAAAAAACATTGTACCGGAGGATTGGAGGAAGGCAGATGTCGATCCTATATTTTAAAAGGGTTCAAAATCCTTGCCTGGAAATTATAGACCTGTGAGCTTAACTTCTGTGACTGGGAAAATATTAATAGGGCTATTAAGGGATAATATTCAGGAATTCATTGGCAAGAACTTTGTTATTAGCAATAATCAGAATGGTTTTATGAAACATAGGTCATGTCACACTAACCTAATTGCATTCTACAAAGAAGTAAGTAGAAGTATAGATCAGGGTGTTGCAGTGAATGTGATCTACTTAGATTTTGCCAAGGCATTTGATATGGTTCCTCGTTAGTGAGGTGTGAACATTCTAATTGGAGCACCATGGTGGTCTGGCACTGTTTGGGAGATGAATGCTCCCCCAGGTGGGCGTTCGGCAATACCGGGGTGGTCCAGCGCACGGGGGTGCCCCCGTTTGGTCAAAAGGTGTAGTGCAGGATTTTACAGGCAAAATTATAGAAAAAGGAATAGGAAAGAGGGGAAACATACATTCTAATAGGCACATCCACACGCAAAAGAAACAAGGCAATTCACAGTTTAGGCAATCCCGCCACACAGCTCCCCCTTAACCAACAACCGGCATACACTGCCTGATCCCGACGGATCAGCTGGGGAATGTTCGGGGAGAGGGCTCACGGATCATTTGTCTAGGGCTGTCTGTCTGGACAACCAGTCAGCATTGCCATTCTACTTACCGGGTCAGTATTGGATGGTAAAGTCATAGGGTTGTAGGGCCAGGCTCCACAGGAGCATTGTTTCCTGCGACCTGGTTAAGCCACACCAACGGGTTGTGATCCGTGAGCAGGGTGAATTGCTGTACATACAGATAGGGCTGCAGCTTCTTAAGTGCCCACACCACTGCCAGGCACTCCTTCTCAATGGCGGCATAGCTTACCTCCCTGGGCAGCAGTTTCCTGCTGAGGTAAGCCACGGGGTGTTCTCCACCATCACCCCCGATCTGGCTCAGCACTGCTCCTAATCCAAACATGGAGGCATCTGTGTGAACAAGAAAGCGTTTTCTGGGATTAGGAGCAGGGGCATTGATCAGGGCGTCCTTAAGGGCTTGGAACGCCTGCTCACTCTGGGGTCCAGCGGATCTGTCTGGGTAGGGACTTTCTGGTCAGGTCTGTGAGGGGCTTTGCAATGGCACTGTAATTGGGGACGAACTTCCTATACACCCTGTTCCAAATTATTATGCAAATTCTATTTAAGTGTCACAAAGATTAAATATTTTGTTTTTCAGTTTCAGTCAACTCATGGATGGCATTGTGTCTCAGGGCTCTTTTGATCACTGAAAACAATCTCGGACACCTGTAATTATTAAATTGCTAGGTGAGCCCAATTTAAGGAAAAACTACTAAAGGAGGGTGTTCCACATTATTAAGCAGAGCACCATTTTCATGCAATATGGAGAAGAAAAAGGATCTCTCTGCTGCCAAAAAGAGTAAAACAGTTCAATGCCTTGGACGAGGTATGAAAACATTAGATATTTCACGAAAACTTAAGCGTGATCATCGCACTATTAAGAGATTTGTGGCTGATTCAGAGCACAGACAGGTTAGTGCAGATAAAGGCACATTGAGGAAGATTTCTACCAGATCTATGCATCAGATCAAGAGAGCAGCTGCTAAAATACCATTACATAGCAGCAAACAGATATTTGAAGCTGCTGGTGCCTTTGGAGTCCCACAAACATCAAGGTGTAGAGTCCTCCAGAGGCTTGCAACTGTGCATAAACCTTCTATTTGGCCACCACTAACCAATGCTCACAAGCAGAAATGGCTGCATTGGACAGAAAAATACATGAAGACTAATTTTCAAACAGTCCTGTACACTGATGAGTGCCGTGCAACCCTGGATGGTCCAGATGGATGGAGTAGTGGATGGTTGGTGGACGGCCACCCTGTTCCAACAAGGCTGCGACGTCAGCAAGGCGGTGGTGGAGTCATGTTTTGGGCCTGAATCATGGGAAGAGAGCTGGTCAGCCCCTATAGGGTCCCCAAAGGTATAAAGATGACCTCTGCAAAGTATGTGGAGTTTCTGACTGACCACTTTCTTCCCTGGTACAGAAGGAAGAACTATGCTTTCCATGATAAAATCATCTTCATGCATGACAATACACCATCTCATGCTGCAAAGAATACCTCTGCATCAATGGCTGCTATGGGGATAAAATGAGAAAGTCATGGTGTGGCCTCCATCCTCCCCTGACCTCAATACTATTGAGAACCTTTGGAGCATCCTCAATGGTGGGAGGCAGTTTACATCCAAACAGCAGCTCTGGGAGGCTATTCTGACATCTTGCAAACAAATTCAAGCAGAAACTGTCCAAAAACTCACAAGTTCAATGGATGCAAGACTTGTGAAGCTGCTATCAAATAAGGGGTCCTATGTTAAAATGCAACGTGACCTGTTAAAATGTTTAAAACGTTAAAATGTTGTTATAAGTTTGATTGAAATAGCATTTGATTTTAGTAACTATGCTGCAAACACAACAAATGACAATTTTCAGCTCTTTATAACCTATAAAGTGTTTTGAAACTTACTGTGCGTAATAATTTGGAACAGTGCATTATGTTTAAAAAAAATACTGTTATAATTAGGAGGTTTGTTCAATAAAATTTGAATTGTACTCATAATAGTTGATAACATGATAAAATTTACCTAAATAATACATCAATTATTTAGGTAAATGTGAAAAATATCATTTGGATAATTATTTGGAACAGGGTGTAGTAGCCGGCGGTCCCCAAGAAAGCCAGAACCTGGGTCTTAATGAGGGGATGGGGCCAGCTAGCTACTGCCTCCACTTTGGCGGGCTCTGTCTTCTGTGTCCCACAACCCACCCGGTGTCCTAGATATTGTACCTCTGCCATCCCTAGGGTACATTAACTGGGCTTCAGAGTTAAAGAGACTCTCCATTTCCAGGAAAAAAAATCAGTTTTCCTGGCACTGCAGCTCCCCTCTCCCTCCCACCCCCCCATCACCGGTTGCTGAAGGGGTGAAAACCCCTTCAGTCACTTACCAGAGGCAGCGATATGTCCCACGTTGCTCCTTCTTCCTCCGCCGCCACTCTCCCCCTTCATTATGTCAGCCGGCG